TCGAGACGGGCTTCGCTCAAACGTCCGTGTTTATTGTCGGAGCGAACATCTCCGACTAGTTGAGGAAGGGAGAGGCGCCCGGGAACCCCGATCGGCGACGAGGGGGACTGAATGGGGCGCCGTCTTCAAGAGGGGAGAAAGGGAGGGCTCTTCCCGAGTGGCCCCAGGAGGAGGGGTAGGCTGACCGGATGCGCTGTGGTTTTCGGGGGGTGGGGAAGATGCGCTGGGGCAACTTGCTGGGGACGGTCCGCACGGCACTGGTTAGGAAGTTTACGTTACATACATATTGCGAAAATGTAATGTTTTTCTTAGATATTGATTGAAACATTTTCGCGTTCTTTCACCCGATTTAAAAGAGCGCTCAAAAAGAGCGTCACATACCCTTTGCACAATGATGCTCGGAATAGTGGAGTAGTCGCTTCAGTCACGTCGTCACATTTGTCGTCGTCGCACCCACCAAGGAGATTCTGCGCACATGGTGATGATATGACGTAAAAGATTACGCCACTCTTTCATGCCCCATTGCAGGCAGGTCCTGTGGCGCTCGTTTAAAGTGCACTTTTTTTATTCGACGGATACAACACGAAAATTGGCCCACTAATATTTTATAACACAGATACCTTCTCGCAAATTATTTTAGTTACTCTGGCCTTAAATACCAATTTTGAAAAAAAAAACAGCAACGTGAACCTGAAATAAAATATTTCAAACAATTAGGTAATCTATTTTAGTGTATTAATCAACTTCCTATAGCGAGTATCCCCGCATCTTATATCAGTCGGGGCTGATAAATACATAGTAAAGACAAAATTCGTCTAACCATCACCACGCTTATTTATTTATATGTAATATATATATATATATATCTTCCTGACGAAGGCCGGACTCCGGCCGTAACGCCGAAGATTAAATCGTCCGTTGTTGCTGTTCTCACTAAGACTTCTTTTCTTCTTCTATATATATATATATATATATATTTATATATGTTTGTATTACAATCAAGCCCCTTTATAATTCACAGTTTTGGCGGGATCTACAGAAAAGTGTGCTCGAATTTTACTTCGAATTTTGAGCACAGTGTAATCGAAGCTGATATGGAACGATCTTCAAAACTAAACACGTCAGAACTTTATATACAGGTAAATCGTAAGTTACAATGTCACTGAAGCATTAATTAGATGTAATACACTTAAATTGGAGCCGTCACTAAGTGTTCGCAATCTGAGTTTTTTTTTTGTTTTGTTATAACAGGATATTGCAGAAATCGTATGATTGGTGTAAATTCAAACTATTCGACTTCTCTTTTGGTAATGGGTTTCTACAAATAAAGCCTCTTAGAGGCACCAGAATGTAAAATACAAGACCTAGGAAAAACTTAAACAGGGCTGGCAAAAGGTCGTGACTGCAAATTTCGCGCACTAAGACTACCAAAACAAGTGACCTATAGTCAGAAGTTCAGACTTCTTGAACATAACGATTAATTACGTTATAGGGAAAATCCTTGAAATACTTAGCTACTCCAAAAATTAATTAATACAATTCCAGTGTGAAACCTTTTTACCCAAATATGTATAACAAGTGTGTTCGTAGAAGTATATATTTAGCAGAAAGAATAAAAGAGAAAGAAGACATGATACAGACTGGAAAGTTATTTTAGGAAAGAATGCGCGCGTTTGTGTCAATCCTTCTTCTTGTTATAATATATCTGGAAGAAGTGTACTTAAATACCTAATAAAATAGTAATAATGATTATGTGAGAAAAATATCGTGCTATTCCCGAAAAAAACAAAAAATCGAAGCAAAAAAAAAAAATTACACAAGCCTTCTTTTCAAAGAAGGCTTGTGTACAGTTATCATTCGATATATATATATATATATATATATATTTTTTAATTCCGGTAATAAACGTTTTGCGGAATCAAGTCGCGGTAGCATGGCACGACTGAGATTGAGCATTATTTCAAGCAAGAAAGCTAGATCCCCTTGACTCCATTGGTCTAAGGCGGTCCAGAGAAAGCTCCCGATAAAAATGGCATTTTTTCCATAGCGAGCTACTTTTTGTTCCTGAAATTCGTTCAAAGAATATATTTATTTAACCTTCCCAAAGTCACCATTTGCTTTATTCAGTTTTCTACCGAGAAATCCTATCTGCGACAGCGGGCACGACTTTTTTTATAAAATAGTTGAGACGGAAATGTTAAGAGTGCGGTATCGGCACCGTAATCACCTCAGACAAACGGGCAATCTTCGAGAAGATATCCTAAGAAAGGCCTGAGGCTCAAACTGTAAATTTCACGCACTTTCGTTGGGAATATCATATGCCACAAGGATAAAGGTACACCGTGCGGTGTCACCTGCCCAAACTCACCAGTAAGCCGTCTAGCCAGAACATCTACATTCACTCTATGCCCTTCCACATGACCTTCAAAGGGTCTTGGATTCACTTTTTTTTACTTGCGCTAGGCGTTGCTTTAGGACTGTGCCTAAGTCACTTCAACTCTTACTTAATGTCGCTCGGGATTGAAAGTGTCGTGCCCATTAAAAGGTATGACCTTTTTTTCTATTCCTATTTTGGTTCATGAAATATTATCGTCCAAACTTTTGCAAGAAGAAATAAAATTGGATTCCTATAGATGTCATTTACTTGTCATTCACATGAAATAATAAGGCTCATTTTATACTTCTAATCGTATAGCTGGACAATATTCATTTATTTATTTCAATACCTTAAACAAACCTTGAGTCAGGCTATTACATAGGGGAGTGGATTTAAAGAATAGCGAGGTTGACATTTGACGGAACGAATCGATGTCTTGAACAGAGACGATGACTTTTGGCAGGCCGTTGCAGATCACAGATGTTGCAGGGAAAAAAATAAGGAATGCTGCATTTCGAGTGAAAGTAAGGCCAGCTTTTGCATGGTCATCAAAGTGGGGTGATAAATGATGAGCTGGCAAGATGACTTAATTGTGTAGATGACCATCGAAGTAAATCCTGTGGAAAAGCCATAATTTAGCGACGCGCCTGCGTGAACACAAAGGGGTTAGTAATAAAGTTTGTTCAAGTTAGGTAACACTAACAAACCTAGGGTATTGAGATATTAGAAAGCGAGCGGCGCGATTATGAGCTGATTCTAGGACAAATGCAATTTATTAAAGATGGGGGTCCCAGACTGACAATGCATATTTTAGTTTGGGACGTACTGATGTTACATATGTAAGTCGCTTCACAGATCAGGCCTCGAGATGAAGATTATCTATAGTGCTTTACGGCTTAAAACAACATCCATGGTTCTTACGTATTCCGGGAAGAGAAACTACGCTTTTGTTCGTTTTTATGAGACATCTGGTGCGCTAAAAGTTTAATTGATTAAAACCCAAACTCCCCTAATCTCTTCTTGTAACTTCTAGTCGCTAATTTAACCTTGTGCAAAATCGCCCCTTTTGCAAGGTAGTCGCTTAGGTCTGAGTCCTTGTTGCGCATTGTGTTTGTCTTACTTCGTCTTTGTCATTGTGGTTTTTGACGCTTTTATACCTTTTAACACTTCCCTTTCCTCCGCTTTTCATTTCGATGGCCAAGCAGCGTTAATCTTCATTACACACTTGGACAGTCAATCCTCTTTGCATCTCTCTTTTCCGGCTTTCCCGCTGAGTAGTGTCATCTCCACTAGAGTTACGAGAATGTACTTTGCCTTGACATGCCGCTCGAAGAAGTCGTATATGTTAGAGATGTTAAACCCAGGTTCGCAGAATACCATGGTTCTACTGTTTTCCATATGAGAACTGCAAAACAATTTACATTTAGGAGTAGGTACTATCTTTTGAAAACAGTTTACTTTGACAGCGGCAACAGATCAGCTGAGAAATGCAAAAAAAAAATGTTTATTGCGTTGTTCCTTAGCATCCAGCAATTTTCGCTGCTCAACTTTACTCAGGAAATATAAATATAACTTATCAAAATTAATGAGACGTGAAAGAAGAGATCAAATAAATATTTTTTTTTTATTTTACATCAAGAAAATATACTTGCGAGCAATCCATTTTTATGAAGTCAGTTCATCGTGATATTTGCCGGGTCCTGTGGCACTTGAAAAAAATAAACTTTCCCTAGTGAAAAAAATCATTTCTATGAGAAATTTCTCGTGTCCAATAAACACATATGAATCATACAAGATTTATAAGAACATATAAGAACTATATAAGAAGTATATAAGAATTATATCAGATATCTAAGAACCATATTGGAAACGTATAAGAAACTTCTCACAAGTTTCTTATATGGCGCTTGGATGTTCTTATATATCTTATATAGTTCTGATATAGTTCTCGTATAGTTCTTATATGGTTCTTATATGTTCTTATATATCTTGTATGATTCATATGTGTTTATTGGACACAGAAATTTCTCATACAAATGAGAATTTTCAATAGAGTTGTAATAATGTTAACAGTAGCTCAATAATATTAAGTTGCGAACTCATTTTCTCTTGGTAGTCAATGATTTCTGTAAATGAAGTAATAACCAATATCTATGTTTGGAGTGAACGGGAAAATATTTATATACATCCGACATAATAAACAATTAAGACAGTGTCATAACACGTTTCAAACGACACTGTTTCGAAAATTTGATTTTTTTTTTACATTCACAAGGCATACATTTTTCTCGACAGCGGGGAAGTCGGTGGTTTGGTAATATACTCAGATGTGAATTTATGTAAAAACGGCTGTTAATAGCCAGCTTTAATTACGCTAAATGCGACGAGTCAGCTATGCATCGCAAACAATTAAAAGTTTGGTATTTGCTAAAGCAACTTATGACCAACGATTTAATAGTACGTTGCACATTTCACCTGCTATCACGTTTGCAAGCTCAAACTAGCGTTACCCGGGAATTTTGAAACACTGAAAAGATTTCAGAATAATGTAAAAAACGCAAAATTTTGCAGTAATACAAATTCAATTTGCAAAGAAAATGTTTTATTCTCACCTCAAACGCAGGCCCATCTACGGAGTATGTTGTCTATCCAAGACTTTTGGAAGCAAGAGGAATCAACGGAGAAAAAATTCTTCACATCAATGATCAACTTTTCCTCCGTTTAGAGAAAAGCTCTGCAATCGCAGAAAAGTTGGTTGTATCAAGTCTTAATGGTGCTGAGCAAGTCGATACTATTGTAAGTATTTTTCATTATTTCAATGAATCTCTAATATATTTTAGCTTCATGAAGTAACTTCTTCCCAATTGAATCAGCATATGTATATAGTGCAGTGTTTGGACATCCTATACTCTAAGGCAAGAAATCATTATGCTTTTATTTTGTAAAGCTGCTTTAGAAATATATTGATGTTATGCTTGTAAATAACTTACCACACAATGAGTGCATAGCAATTTCGTCTTCGAATCACAGACTGGAAATACCAAAACTCATACAATCATCGAACTCTTTTCAAATATTTTTGCTCATAGTGTTATTTCGTCTTTATCATAGTTGTGCATTCAGGTAAAAGATTGCTTACGATTAATTTTTTTTTTCTTTGTATATGTGATTTGATCTGATACCTCCTACAAACTTTAAAGGCCCTTCCGAATAAACATTCAGATTGCGGATCTGCATGAATTCATTTAACGTTTCTTTTGAATTTAATAAAATATATCTTACTAAAATGATGAAGACATTTAACAGACTGAGCTCACTGCTGCGACCATAAATTAGCCTGTCATACGCTGCTTCCTCGTTTCTTTAAAATGCTCATACAGGCAAATTAATTGGGCAAATTAAATGGGCAGATTGTTTTGAAAATAAACATTTCGCAACAATCTAGTCTAAATTCCGCACGACATGAGTTTAATTAAGTAAAAAAGATTAAAAAAAGTACAGTCAATTTGTCTACACACTTCACATTTGTAATTTCATCCGCCTTTTCCGGTTTCTCATTTTCTAGCGGGTTACAAGCTATTTGTCAATTCAACAAACCTTGAAGCTTATAGTAAATTTTTTCATTCTGTAGAAATTACACTTCTCAAAAAGTGTCCTCTAAAGACAAATTTGAAAACAGCGCGACAAACAAGGGACAAGAACGAGAAGTGAACGAACACAACGCTGAAAATTCTTGTCCCTTGTTTTTTTCGCGCTGTTTCCAAGTTTGCAATATGAACCAACTAGCCTAACTTCACGCCTTGTTGCAGTTCATCTGAAGAATCGTTTTTGTTTTGTTTTTCCAATTTACTTTCAACGAAAATAATCTTGGGGTTTGTGCTGCAAGGAGAAAATATGCAAGGCCTGTCAAAGAAAACAGGATAATTTAAACCCTAAGATATGGATAAATAAAATAAAAGGCAAGAAGGTTCAAAATCTCGGAAACTTTGACTTTTCTTGTACCTTATTTTATTTCTCAATGTCTCAGGGTTTAGGTTATGACGGTTGGTAATATGTTTTGGCAAGCTATGCTTTCGTTTCCGCCAAGCGGCCAAGCTTTAGCCAAATAAATGAGCCATAACCCTCCAATCACGAAAAACTACACTAGTGAGTGTAACCTGATCAGTGCTCTGGATAGCGCTCAAAATCTTTTAGAATGCATTTACAACATATTTGTTTAACATGAGAGACAATCTCAGAGAACTCGGCTTTCTATCGAGAAGTCTCAGCTTCACATTAGTTTTCTTTGTCTAGTTAGTTAAATGTTGAGAGTTTTGAAATGTTACCTATATCAATATATCAACGTCTGCTAACTCTTCCTACTGAACATTTCTGCAACGAACAATGCCGAACACATTGAAATCAATATTTTTTCATGGATTAAAGACAAAAAAAGTTTACACAAGAGTAAGTATTTCCAGGGTGTCTCGGTCAAGCTATTGTTTTTCACGCGATGCTTTTGTGCTCGATCTACTCCAGGAAAAATGCCAATTTATTAGACAGGGTTATCTGAAGCTGGGTTTAAGTACTGATGCCCTGTATTTTTACAGTATTGTTTGTCGTTGGTTTGCCATGGTGCATATCCGACCCGGAAGAATGACATGAATCAAGCTGTTTTAACAAGAAAAAATGCATTTATTTGGACAGGGACGAGAGGATCCATACACTAACATCATTACCACTGGCGCATGAGTCCAAGCAGCGACTGCTTGTGCGCCGCAACTTATCCGCCTTATCAAGGCGGCGCGGGATGTGCCAGTGGCCGGTTTGACTCCGCCGTTACGCGTGAACGTCCGTCAACTGTGCCCTGTAGTCAACAATATGTGCTGGGAAACCACCACGACTGCCTGCGCGAAGTGTGTTCCTTCAGATATTCCCAAAAATAAACAACAAACAGGAAAGAGAGAGGAACTATTAAAGCGTAAACCAGCAGCATCAGCTAAATGTGTGTATGCGCTCAGTGAAGGGTAAAGAAAGGAGGCTTGGGTGAAGTCTGAACTCAAAATAGGAAGTTAAGATGCGAAGAAGGCTAGTCCATACATTTGAAGTATTTCCCCGCGATCGTTGATTCTAGCAAAGAAGACAGGAACGGGCGAATATTTAAAAAAGAAACTATTCATACATGTTTTGGTTGATATATATTTTTATTTCCCATATATTTTTAAAGTTTGTATCACTTTCGTGCAACCTTAGATATTGTTTAGACAAACCTAGTGTTCTATCTCTGCTTACTTCGGCAATATTAGGACTCAATTTCCAGGGAAAATATTCTACAAACGAAAACGACATTTTTTTTAATAAAATTAAAATATCACGTTGTTAAGTTCGCAGGCACGTAAAGTGCTTGGAAATTAGCGCATTAAAACGAAAACCCAGATGCTCCTTAGAAATAATTTTACAAAATCTTAGTGCTCGTATTATTTTACCTTTTTTCAGGTGGATGGAAAGGAGGTGGAAAAGAATATTTATCACGATAAAAATCAGATGGCTGCTGTGTCTGTGTCAGAGCAAAACGGAACGCTGCAAGTGGTATGAACACAACATTTAACACTCTTAGCAGATCCGCGTTTAAGTGTCATCATCTGTGATCACTGGCGAATTCAGAGTTGGAGTCCGGATATCCTGATACCTCCGCCCCTCCCTCAATCTCTTAAACTCCCCATATGTAAAATTTTAGGACGAAGAAAGGGGGAGTGGATGCAAACATCTCGTTCGCTGACCCCTCCTCTGGAAACGCCTGCATTTCCCTTTTTGTGATGCATGTCAGATGCGAAGGCCATGTTTGAATTTAATGTTCTCACAAGAAATTTCTTTCAAGTATAATAAAAATATTCTTTGGAACTGCAATAATTCATGCCAACATTTCAGCCCTTGTCAACGTTATTGAACGAAAGGGCTAGGTTTTGATCAGTTTTTGTAAATATTTTTAATTAGTTGTCGTGTATGAAGCTCGTGGACACGATCACTGAAATTCACGGTACTTTTCTGGAACGACCAAATCGTAAAATTTATTTATATGGCACTAATGCGATTATATATATATATATATATATATATATATATATATATATATATATATATATATTATAGGTGAACACATAAACCTTCTGTAATGTCAAATTAGAGCGCAGCTCTTGAGGAGGAGGGAGAGGGGGTAGGGAGGGGATGGTATGCCCTCCTCACAAACCCTACCCTCTCCTCCTCCCTCCTCATCTGCTCCTCCCGTGCTCCTCGCTTCCTCCCCTCTTCCTACTCCTCTCATCATCTTTCCCCCTCCCTCCTCCTCCTTCCTGTCCTCCTTCTGCTCCCCTCCTTCTCCCCCTTTTCCCTCCCGCGTGGTGCATTATTGGGAAGGTGCCATAATGCAACGCGCGCGTCACCGCGGTGCATTCTGGGACGTTTCCCATAATACACCACGTGGTTACGCCGACAGCGACGGCGACGCCGCCCAAGCCGGAAACGGACGACTAAGAGCTGCGCTCTAGAAACCACCGACCGTAGTAGCTCCCACTAATGGCCATCCTTAAAATAATTAATTTTATATTTGATTGACAAATAGAAAACACTTAAAAAGTATACATATTGAGCACACATATAGCTCGTGAAGTAACTCAACAGTGCTTTAAGCCTAACAGGTTTTATAGTTACGACTAATATGGTGGTTACCTTTACCACATGACAGGTGAGGAAAAATTGCAACACTTAAAGGCACACCACAGTCAAATTCAAAATATGCCCGTCGTGTTAAAAATAGGTTGAATATAAAATTATGTGATCCACAATATCCGTAAATGACAATCGCACGTTTGTATTTTGACCTTAATGGCTGTATTTTTCGTTATAAACGGCCCCCTCTGGCAAGCGCTCGGAGAGCAGCCAGCACAGAGCACGCGACATTGGACGCTATTGTGACGTAGTTCGTCTCGGGACGAGCAAAGCTGCGGCGAGGCTGTCGTTAAGAGGATGACCTAGTCGTTCCAGCCACTGAAACGGCTGCCTTTGTACGACTTTTGAGTGACGGGTTTATCGTCTGGAATCTTGTAGAGGGACAATAGCGACTTCTTCGACACACAGAAGAGATTCTTTGGGAGAGGGGAGTTCCTCCTTCATGCTCTCCTCTCGTCGTGTCAGGAGGCGAGACAGACACCGTCACTGTCTGTCAAGGTTCCTAGACGGCCATTAAAAACGAGGCGTTAGCGACATCCACCAGGTGCTCTTTGCTAATCGTTTAATTTGTTTTAAAATTCCTTTTATTTTTCTATTTTTAACAACATAATGGTGTGTCCGATCTGAGACTGCCCCTTTGAACACATAGAGACCAAAAAATAAGCGCCGAAGTTTCGTTGCAGTGTTTTTACGGAAAAGTTACAATATCAAATTTGGGGATTTTACGTGCCAAACCTACGACGGGCACAAATTTCGACCACCTGGGGATCTTTTGACGTGCAACCGAAAGCTCGGTTACACGGCACCTTCTCCGCAATAAGTCTCCGTCATATTGCGGGCACCTCGGTCGGGATTCGAACCCGCCACCTGGGGATCCGGAGGCCGGCGCTCTCGCCTCATGGAAAAGTTACATTTCATACATAAATGCTGTACAAGGTACAGAATGAAATTGTATGCAGACCGCCGACAAAAGTGGGAAGCTTTAAAATAGTTATGTCCAAATAAAAATGTGACAATAACTAGCACTACTAGTTTATATATATGTATATATAACAAATGATCGAACCTGTCAAAGCCTGTGAGGTGTGCATGACATGGCCCGTCAACTTCAAAAATATATTCTATTCAAGGGCCACATTGGCCAAAAAAAATAACATCACTATGTAATCTATTTAGTATAAGAGACACGGAAGAAGAGTTCGTTAGAATATTGCGAAAATATTATCAAACACTCTGCCATAGAAACGTGCTATTCAACGATATTATAACTTCACAACACATAAAATTGCATCTCACTGTTCATACATAATACAAAGCATACAAAATGGAACTTATACAAATGAAGGTTTACTCAATTGTGCCTTATATAGAGAACACTTTTCTAAAGTTGTTTTTCAATTTGAACAAATAACAGAAATCAGTGATCAAGATAATAGCGAACATTTTGATGCCAAGAGTTCGCACCTTTTTAAGCTACGTCATTAACACACAATCGCTTGCTTATATATTATTTGTCTGAACTCGAGTAAAAGAAAGAAGCTTTACAATTTGTCCTAGGTTTCTTAACGCTAGAAATAGTTAAGTTATGGTGGCTTCCATCAAACAATTTTGAATTGTTTTATAATATTTGCAAGTGACTGAACAATCAATTGAGCCATTGTTTACTTTTGAAAATTCAGACTCCAACCAAGTTAACATTTATTTAACGCCGGATTACACAATTTTATTTAGAAAGATTACCAAAACCAAAACGGAGTGACAAATATGCTGTTGAAATGTAGCATTTTTAAGGCAAGAAATCCGAACCAAAAACGAACTCGATATATCTGCACGCTTGGCCTATTGGGTTTATCGCCTTATATTTTTGATTGCTGGTATCTTATTTGGAAGCTTTCTTACTTCCGGCTTTAACTCTATCCTACATAGAACAAATCCTGAGCAATGCCACTTCTTATAGCGCCTTTAAGTATGCTATTCTGTTCACACGTTTTTGGGTGCTAAAGAGGTCTACAAAAATTATTTAACAAAAAAATAGTAAATCTTTATTCCAAGACGCAATTTGCATAAGTCACTTTAATGTTACGCCCAGACCGGAGCCTTGGGACGCAGGTTGAGGATCGCTCCTCTGCCACTGATGGGACGCTGTGAAGCTGGATGCGGGGCACACAGAATTTTTGAAATCGAGGAGCCGGAGGGATACAATACCGATTATACAGGTGAGACACAACGTAACTTTTGGTACGAAATTACGTGTTTCTTTCCCTTCTCATCACCAGCTTAATCTAGAAACATACGACCCGAGTTGAAATAGGGCATAATGTGTCACATAGGCCTCGCTCGGTTTTCATCTTGTCAATAAAAAAGCTAATGATTTTAATACGCTTACATATTTATTTCTAAATATTATTACAGCGGGTTAAAGGTGGCTGACACCGTGAATTTCTAACACTAAGAATTGATGTGGCGGGAAATGTTTTTTTTATAACCACATGTAAAAATTATAAATATTCCTTGATAATCAAGCCCGTTAGCTCATGTGCATTTATGTACGACTTCGTAAAGCATAAATGCTACACTTGTCAACAAAATATATTCACTCATTCTTTACTCTCCTTTCCACCAGTTTTCTATGCTTAATATGTACGACATAATTGTATTTGAAAATACAACTATACCGAATCGAGTGGTTTTCCTAAATTAAGTATTTTGTTGAAAAAACCTGCACCTGCAAATAAAAAGGGTGCCGCGAAGTGTGCAACGGCAACGTTCACGCGATTGACTGTCATGAGGAATCCGTGCCTCTCTGTTTATAAAAACGTGTTGATCATCCTAAGTGAAAAGCAACACCGCGAACACCTCCACGATGTTATTTTTTATTTATAAATGAGCCAGCCCCGCGGCGTTATCTAAGAATGAATACGCACTTAAATGCTTTTTTCTTACAGTTCCAATGAAACGAAACATCTTCGCAAAACGGCGTAAGTATAGTCGCCTTTTAATGTCTAATAATTCGGCAGATTTAAATATACGATTTGTTGCAGCAACAGCAATGAGCGCAAGCCTAGATGCTTAGATAAATCTAAATTTTCTTTGTAATATCGTCTCTGAAAAATCGAAAATTCTAGATAATGTGACAATTTCATCACGAGCACGGTGTCAGTGGTTCTCGTTTTATGCCAACAGATAAGTGCCGAACAGAGAACTTTGTTGTGTAAATGAAAGACTTATACCAGCTCATTATATTTCGGACTGTAGTCAAGATTACTTTGAATTGCGTAAAAAATAAACAGGAAAACACATCAATCTCGCGTTTGCGCTACATGTAGCGCGAACATTTGTAAAATGAAATTTTAATATAAGTAAAACTCTCTTATTCTCACCCCATTATTTGACTATGTGAAAGGAAGGCCGTCAGATTGTCTAAAATAAAAAACACTTAAATAATCTACAAAATCTAGAAAACATATACTACACGATGTGCCAAAAATCACTTACGATTCGAGAAAGACCGAAGAAGCACTTGTGTTGATAGGAGTTGAGCCTTGTTATCTACTAAAATTGCTTAGGAAGTACTGCTTGCAAGCTGATAGGTCGCTGTCATGTAATTGCCTAATTTCTTTGAAGAGTGTATTTTAGAAACGACATCAGACCTATATAAAAAGAAGCCAAGTTCTCTGCTTGATGCAGAAGCATAACTGTCTCTAATCAGTAGAGTTAGTTTTGGACACATCTGTTTGTTAACGAGTAAGTTAGGGCTCACGTCGAAACATGGGTAGTGACATGCATTTGTGACGTAACCGTACTTGTATCTGCCACTATTACTCCCAAATCGATGAAACGTAAAAATGTTTGTTTTGCATTGTTTTTCAGAAACCAGATTAGCTGCAGAAATTCCCAGAGTTTTTTTTGTCGAGGTGGCAATTGTGTTCGATCAGCACCACAGAGAGCACTTTAAAACTAAAGAAAGCCTGTTGCAATATGCCGCAGTCACTGTTCAACTGGTAAGACGTCTTACCATTATTAAGTTTATCGTGCAAGTTCTATTTGCTTTTTTGTGTGACACATTCCTGAGTACTGAATCTGATGAGCGACAATAAGCAGTTCAGGTTGTTTTGTTATGCAGTTTTTTTACAAAATGCTGATATATTATCAGAGAGTAATTTGCAACCCTATAGTTTCCAGATTCAATTCGATATGCTTTGTCCTCCTCTTGGCGTAGAAAGATAATTCACGTTTGGCTATCCTTGAGAGCGTCTGCACGAAATGTTCTCCAAAATATTGACGTTTTCTGATATTTTTATTCCTAAACCAAATAACAAGCAGTATGATCGGCACTATTAATTGCAGTGAAAATATTGCTTTGCAGTGAGCAAGGAAACGTGCAATCTACGGAACATAAGAAAGGTCATGAAGTAATGACAAGCAACTTATACATGAGAGATGGCTTCATTCAGGGTCATATTAGGGTTTTCTTTCATTCATATTCGATTTGTTATGCTGCTTAGATTGTTTACTTGTGACGAATACGCGATAAACAAATGTTACATAGGAGTTGCTTTGCAAAATCGAGTAAAAATTTAAAAAAAAATTAGCCTTACGTTTTTTGGCTTTTTGCGAAAACTGCAAATGCATACGAAATTTGGGAAATCTAACAAACATATTTCACAAATCGGGGGATCCGACCTCGTTTTTAATTGAGTATGAAAACAAGCGTCTGCAGTGTGACGTGAAACAAATCTAATGCACTTCGTTTATTACGATGGTTGCTCTCATGACTTTTTATTTGTGCATGATACAAAAACCCGGTATGGTGGCTGGAACCAACAATGTTTCTATTTTACACTAAATCGAGCATTTCATGTTTATTGGCAAACTTGTCTTAGTCAGCTGTGAACTTGAATTTTCAATTTGTAAATAATTATAAGCAATTTGAGGAACATCATTGATAAATGAAACGGTTGTGAGTTTACTTGGAGATTCCTACTTTATTGCATTTGCGTAAAATATCAATGAAATCGTATTGGTTTACATTTAGTAACATACGTAAACAAACACAATATTAAAATTAACTTAAACTTCTATGAAAAGCAAGAAAAACGGAGAGAACTGGAAACAATGGACCACACAAAATAGTTTCCTTTTGTGTGCTCCCCATTATCAGGAAAAAGGCAAAACATAAAACCCTTCTAAAAATGATGCACCCACGCAACTCATTTGCCCTGATATGATACGAAAGGATCATACATAGAAACTCCTAACGATATAAATTAGGTGCAGGTAATAACGAATTTTAATATTTTATGTGATAAAAATATAGACGTTTCTGAAGCACGTACGGGTATTATGTACATAAAACACTGTCTATATTGCCGGCGCTTTGTGCCGCATGTACTTCATTAAAATATCCGTAATCGGATTCTCATGAAAAGCAGCTGGATGAATTCGATGTGGTTTTTGTGCCATCCACGAGGGAAAGAATGTTTTGCAACCATGCTAGTAACTATCCATTATCAACACGGTACGTAGTTGGGCTAGGTGGTGGTACATACTGTTCGGTGGAAACGGCGCGAAAAACGTAGGACCAGGACAAAGAAACACACAGACGGGGCGCTGTCTGTGTGTCTCTTTGTCCAGGTTCTACGTTTTTGCGCCGTTATCACCAAACAGTATACAAAATATCAAATTGATCTGCTCGGTCACCATAGAAAGAAACGCATATAACGCGTCCTATATGTTTTTTTTATTTAATAATATAGTGATATGTCATATAGGTGAAATATTATTTCAATGATAATGTTTTACTTTCAGTCAAAATCCCTGTTTCCCTTTTCATAAAATTTCACAAACACACGGGATTTTTTTTTTATTTATCCGACACCCCAGTCCCCGCCTTGCCCCCCCAAAATAAAATAGAAACCACGACAATGAAATGCTATTCACAAGGGTATAGGAGGTACTGATGACTCGAGCTTTCATTATTTTTAGAATGCCAGACTGTCTTTTGCATATTTTCACGCAAGCAAAGTAATAAACAAGCTAGTTTATACTTAATACCAACTTGAGAAGTGCTAGGTGTCGTGATAATTCGGATTGACCACACCGAGAGAGACAGAACAGCACCAGCGAGCTGGGTTAAGCACGCGGCCCCAACTGGCTGCCCCCTCTCGGGGTTTTATTGAAACGCATAAACGTGATTATTACCACATTCCCCTTTCTCTACAATGGGCTTGAAACTATGTTCTGAATCTTTGGGGCCGAATGATTCGTCGCCCAGCTCTAGTGAAAGTGTAGGGCACCTCTTTCCTGGTGCCGGAGTCGATGACAGATTCTTACGGAATGAGAGCCGTAGCTGGACCTTCCTCTGTGTCGAGCACCTGTTCCGATGTCAGAGTAGACTCTTCCGGACCGATCATAGGTGGACCTCTCTCTGGATCGAGTACCTGTTCCGATGTCGGTTCTTTGTCCTTAACGCACGGGGTCAGGACATTCTCGCCTGGATTGATCACTTGTTCGCATATCGTTTCTTCGTCTTCATTGTACCGGTTTGAGCACTCTTTCTCGGTGTTTCTGCTGGAACTAAATAGTAGGTATTTCGGAGAGTTGTCTGGACGGTGTACCCACCACGAAGGATCTCGGGTTGTTCGTTTTACTCACAATCTGCCCCGGCGTGCCAGGGTCTCTGGCCCAAACAGAGCCACCGATGGACGGCTCCTTGTGGCAGCTTACTCCATGCCGTTGATTGTATCCTTGGGCCTGCCTTCTTTTCTCTTCCTTATCTTTTCTTCGGAAATCCGTGTGGCTTGGCATTTTCGGGGTTAACAGGGATGGCAACATTGGCAAAGTTGGACGTAGTTGCCATCCCATGAGTAGTTGAGTTGGACTAAATCCGCAGGGGCCTAGGGTAGTTCTGTAGATCAAAAGTGCCAGGCCTGGTTCTTCGGCCTTTTTCAGGATGTCTTTGCCAACTTTTACTATGCGTTCTGCTTTCCCGTTACTCTTGGGATAGTGTGGGATGTTTTTTTATGTGGCGAATCTGGTACTTTCTTGTGAATTCGTCAAAACTCTTGTGCGCGAACTACGGTCCATTTTCTCACCTGAACACCTCCGGTATCCCATGGCGGGCAAACACAGATTTTAGGTCCGCCACAGTCGCTTTCGATGTTGTTTGCTTCAGCCGACAAACTTCTGTAAATCTGGAGTAGTAATCTACAACTGCAAGGTAGTGCTTGCCGTTCAATTCAAAGAGGTCGGCTGCAACACGTTACCATGGATGGTCTGGGAGCTCCAATGCTATAATAGGTTCCACTTTTGGGATGCGCTCTTGGATGTAGCTTGTGCAGTTGGTAACCACCTCTTGCAACTGAGTGCTGAGTCCTGGCCACATCACTGACATTCTTGCTCGTTCTCTGCACTTAGACACTCCTTGGTGCCCTGCATGTAATTGGCACAGTACTTTCTCTCTCAATAACTTCGGGATTACTAGCAGACTGTCTTTCACGAGGAAATCGCTCTGGTACCGTGAGGCTGTCCTTAATCCTGAAGTAAGGACCGATTTCTGGTGGGATGTCCGTCTTGTGGGGCCAGCCCTTTGCACAGTACTCTCTTAACTTGCAACATACAGGATCTTGACTCTGAGCAGTGCGTACTTCGTCCGGATAGTGACTCGTAGCTGGCAGGAAGCTTGTCACAACCTGGATGTACGCCTCTAACTCCTCTTCCATCTTCTCAGGGGGCTCTACTGGGGATCTCGAGATAGCATCTGCCGTCCACAAATCCTTCCCGGGTACATGTTCCATGGAGTAGCTGAAACGCATGAGTCTGAGCTTGAACCTCTGGATTTTTGAGGAATGGCATTCAACTCTCGGTCACCCAATAACGCAATTAGGGGTCTGTGGTCCGTTTGCACATGAAACTTGGTTCCTATCAGGAACTTTTCAAAAGGTTCGCATGCCCAAGTGACCGCATAAGCCTGATTTTCTATTTGAGCGTACCTTCCTTCTGTCTCACTCAGTCCTTTGGATGCAAAAGCGACCGGGCTCACCAGTCCTTGTCGATCCTTCTGCAACAGCACTACGCCTAGCCCATACGCCGAGACGTCTGCCGACACTATAAGCTGCTGTCGGGGATCATAGAGTGTCAGCGTTGTAGCTTCCGTGATGTCTCGCTTCACCTGGTCGAATGCTCCTTGCTGCTGGGCGTCCCAGTTCCATTTTGAGCCCTTTCTGAGAATATATCTGATGGGTTTTAGCTTCTCCGGCAAGTTGGGTATAAACCGTTCAACCTGGTTAGCCATGCCGATAAACTGACAAACTTTAGTAACGGTGTCCGGTGCCCGGAAGTCCCGGAAGTCCATGATTGCCTTCCCTCTTTCGGGGTCTGGCTGGATCCCTTCCGCACTCAGGATGTGTCCCAGGAACTTCAAAGATATTTTTGCAAACTCGCACTTGGCGTTAGGTTTGATTCCCGCAGTATTCAGTCTCTAAAGGACCTCATCCAGCCTCTCGTCGTGTTCTTTGAGATCTCTTCCCGTGATCAAAATGTCATGCATGTGGCATAACACTCCAGGTATCGCCTCAAGAACTTGATTCATACGTCTTTGGAAGTGCTCAGGCGCCGAGGATATGTCAAAGAGGTGCCTTTCGAAACAGAACCTGCCAAAGGGGGCTATAAAAGTTGTGAGCAGCTGTGGGTCTTCAGCCAATTTCACTTGCCAAAATGTCGCTTTGGCATCCAACTTCGAAAAAACCTTTGCGCCAACGAGACGCCCCACAGTTTCTTCTACCAACGGGAGGACAAGCTACTCCCTTTCGATGCACTTGTTGAGGTTTGTCAGGTCAACACAAATCTTGACTTCCCCACTTGATTTGGGGATCACCACCATAGCTGAGCACCAGGGAGTCGGCTCTACGACTCTCCTAATAATGCCGTTTTTCTCCATCTGCGTCAGCTGGGCCTTGACCTTATCCAACAGAGCCAAGGGCACTCTCGGTGACGTGTTTACTGACACTGGGCTTGCACCTGCCTCGAACTTCATGTGGTAGTCACCGTTCGTTTCCCCGAGACCCTTGAACATTCCTGGGAACTTTTTTTTTTGTACTTGGCACTTGGGTCTGCTGTAACCGCTTGCAGCAGCTGTACAATCTTTAGACTTGTACTCGCACGACGACCCGGCAGAGGTTCTTCCAGCCCTTGGATAACATACATCTCATCTCGGACGCTGTTGTTTCCGCAGCTTAGGGTGGCTTGAACCTTTCCCAACACCTTCAGTGGCTGTCCGCCGGCGCCGTAGAGTGTCACTGCAGCGGGTCGTACTGCACTCACATCTCTAACAGCCCTCAGTGGCACAGCATTTACATCTGCCCCGGTGTCAATCTTGAAAGTAATTGGCTTTCCATTGACGCTGAGCTCTTTTCTCCATGCTGATGCTCTGCTACCCTCCTTGAGTGTGCCGAGTGACCATCTTTCTTGTAAAGTTTCATTCTTTTCTGAGGTGACTTCTCTTAGAGTTTTCTTGTTGCACATTTTTTCCAGTGTCCTTTCTTGCCACATGAGTGACATTTGGACGTGGATGCCGGGCAGTTGCTCTTTTTATGAACGCTTTGTCCGCCGCACATCCCGCAACCGTGTAGCGGGCTCTTCCACCCCGCAGTCTCGTTTGTTTGGTTTCCGAAACTGGAGCAGCCTTTAATCGATGTTTTCCGGAGGGCGTCGACAGACAGTTCATCTGCTGGGTTCTCCTGGCGCACGAGAGCCTGCTGCCTTCGTACGGCTTCCTTTTGTCTCGCCTTTTATACCGCCTTCTCCAGGGTGAGTTCGGGATCAGTTTGTAACGTCTCTGACAGCTTCCTGTCCTGTAAGTCGACCACCAGGTGGTCGCGCACCAATTCTTCTTTGAGTGCTCCGTACCCGCAGTGGACCACCAGTCTGTGTAAAGCCGTTACGAAGGCCTCGACGGTCTCGCTAGGTTCTTGCTTGCGTTGATGAAACCTCGCTCGCTTGTAAATAACGTTTCTTTTTCCGACGCAATGATTTTGGAATACTTCCAGCACCTTTTCGAAGTCCACTTTGTCTTTTTCCGTCAGCGTTGCTGCGGCGAATATGTCCTCAGCATCTCCCCCTAGGCAGAAGATTAGAGCGTCTACTTGAGCTGCTCCTTCTTCCTCCATGGGTTGCGAGACCCTTCTGTACCTGAGAAAACGACTGGACCAGGCCGTCCACACCTCTTGGCGTTGAAAATCAAACGCCGTCGGTGGCACGAAACCGTAGTCTGGCCTGGTTTCCCCATGCTCGCCCGCCGCCATCTTTGTCTCTGACGCACCCGGACAACCCGACCGTTTTCTTTCTTCCCGGTGGGACGCCTCTTCTGGTGTGACCGCCGCTCGTCACGCCTACCTTTTTCACTGCTGTGGCCGCTCGTATCCCACTTCTGACACCATGTCGTGATAATTCGGATCGACCACACCGAGAGAGACAGAACAGCACCAGCGAGCTGGGTTAAGCACGCGCCCCCAACTGGCTGCCCCCTCTCGGGGTCTTATTGAAACGCATAAACGTGATTTTTACCATACTAGGCATCTCAAGACCGAAACACCGTATAACCGCCCCGCAGTTAATAAAATTGTTGCAACAGGCAATAAGATGGTTTAAAAACTATTGCCCCAGCAGGTTTGATTGATTGTTGAAGGACCGTTAAATACGTAAAGGAGGCAGTTAAATTCACAATCCACTTCAGGATTAGAACGGTATGAAAGTCTTTAGTCGTGCTGCGTCCGGAGCGAGCTTTTTTTACTTTTTATAAGGCTTTGGTATTTCAAAACCTTCCTGCGTCGCCTCTCATCTAATAGCACGGTGGACGGCAAAAGACAAGTGGTGGAGTCCGGACATTGCAAAAAGAGACGTTTTGTCGTTCTCATCGTGCCACTGTAGAGAAAGGGCGTGGATACGGTGCTTTAAATATTCAGCGTAATCAGCGCTTCCGCTTTGTTCAGAATTGTATAAACATATCTAATAAAGTTGTGGACATACAAATCTCACACTGGACAGGACAGATTAAAAACATATAAACATAAAAACCATATTAAGTGTCATCTTTTTTTGTCCATCTTCATCGGCTTTCGGCATGTTTGACAGAAAACGTGTTTCCTGTTTGTTTACTTTGATTTTATCTTGTTGCGTTTTATCTTTATTTGGAATTTAAATAGCGCATTTCGCATATCAATTACTATATTCATATAAAAACTCAATCTACCATTATTTCATGTATTTTGATAGAGCTTAAGCAAATTTTCCGCAATTAAAATGATGTGTGCTTAGTCACAATTTTCTTTTTTCACGTCGCGTCCGTGAGGGTTTTACAGTTTTTGCTTCACGCGTTTCTAGGTAGTAGCTGCTCACCTTCTCTCCTTGGCGTCTTTACGCTCGGTGGCTTCGCCTACTTGCGAGTTCGGAGGACGCTGATATGAAACTCGTTCTAATTTTTACCACACCCTTTTTCAAGGTGAACATGCGATACGACGTCACTTCGGATCCAAAAGTTCAATTTGTTCTTGTTGCTGTTATTGACCTGACAGGGGTACGTTGTTTTACGAGTTTCTCTGAAGCAAACATTTTTCAATGCCCGCTCCTAAGAGGTGTGTCATTTACTATCCCATTCTTCTTTAGGAGAACACGATTACGAGAACACTAGTGGCTCAAGATGTTTTGAAGCCGCCCGGTTATACTACAAGGTATACGATCTCTGGAGAAACGTTGGAGAATTTGGCGACGGCAGTAAATTGGGGAATGATTAATGTTACTGCAGACCTCGTCACCTTGGTTACGTCGTAAGTACAAGCAAGCTCAATGCATTATTTTGTTTATTTATAAAACAAACTAGTATCCTAATGTGATTATCGAAACAACGTGCATCATAGAAAGCAGAGATACGTACTATTAGAAAGAAATGTTTGCGGTAGTTTAGTACGCTGTATTAAGAACTCCCTTTATACTCTGCGATGGAGGTGTGCAGGGGGTTCTCCTTCCCAAGTTTGCCCTCTTGTTACCCCTGGCTCAAGAGCCGAGCTAGAGGTATTGCTCATACCTTAAGCCGCGTTTTCCTTACACCCACTCTGCACGTATTCTATTTGTTTTGGCATGTAGTCCAGGCACTGAGGGCTACCGAACTTTAGCATGCTTGATTTCTAGTTTCTACCTCAGCCACCCAGTAAATATTAAATGGCATAATACAAATGCGACATGGAGTTAAGTAATATGATCGCTTTTATTTTGAGTCAGTCGTAAAAATAAATTTAAAACCTTAATAAAATGCTTCGTTTTCTCGAGCCAGCCAGTAATTTCCCATGCTTCTTTTCATCGCATGTCGGGGCGCGTTCAATACACAAATACGAACACATATACTGAAACCTCAATGTCATGGTGCGCTAACCGCAGTTCATTAATTTAGCCGATGACAGCTCGAACAAAACAACGTGTAAACGCCGCGACCTTGCTATTTTATCACCCTTTGATTGGTCCAGAACTTGGGACTCTGGCTACGCGATGTTTTGAAGTTTATTTACGCGTAATAGAGTTTAAAGCACCACACCAACCGGGTAACTATAGTTACCCGGTTCGTGTGGTGTCTGTCGGTTCCCAAAAGACTTCTGGGACTATAGTCCCAGGAGTCTTTTGGGAACCGGTGGGTTTAGCATTTTTTTTGGTGGTAGGCGAATTCAACAATAAATAAATGAACATAAAAATAAATCAAGAAAACGTCATCTCACTCCACGTGCAGGGGTGCTTTTCGTGGATCACTGAATTAATTGCGATTATTCTTTTTTATCTTTCAATTGTTTAGATATAAAGAAGCGTGATGTTGATATCGGCTTTTTTTTTTTGTCCCTGAGAGCCGAAGAAGGCAGGGCATCGTTTGTAATGTTCACGCCTGAAGCTTCGCGTTTTGTACTTCGAATTTCTCATTGGTTCATTTTGCAATCCCACTGGCCGCGAAGCGACAGTTACATTCATACAGCTCGCCAAGTCCTGCATTTTATAGGCTATCTGTTAGTGTAAAAACAGGGTTGAACCGTTCCTCCATTATGCGGAGAACGGGTAAAATTATGCGTGTGAGTGAAATGTTCTTTTATACTGCTAAACTATATTTCTATTGCCATCTTACTTTTCTTTCTAGGACTGATCTAGCAGATGTTCAACGTGGCACACTTTTTCCCGGCGTCGCAGGTACATATATATATTTATATTTTATGCTGCATTATCTTCATTATTGTATTAGTAAAAAAGCTCCAACAGGTTCGTTGGAATATGTAAATTTTCTCATTCGTAATATAAGTGCCAAAGAACTAGCGTACTTATCGCAAAACAACCTTAAATATCAAAAATTCCAAATAAATGTTTTACCAATAAGTAAAGCAATGAATACGAACTAAAACAAGTACTTCAACATGTAGAATATTTTAGTATCTATATCTATATTCATGATATCTCTTATCTCTTAAGATCGAACTATTCAGGAAATATTGTGTGTGACCAAGACCAATAAAGTTACGTATCTTATACAGAGAAAGTTTAGAAATTCTTCCCGCAATGTGAAACAAGCACTGAAGGTGTCTCCACTCACAAACGTTTCAAGCCTAGCTTGCGTTATTTGGGACCCGCCTCAGAGGTCACCTCGCAACACATTTATAGCGAATTAAAAATCAAGCGCTTTGTGACAGGCGATTAAATTTCCTATACAAGCGTCTCTAAGACTAAACAGAAATTAGCTTTTCAATTCTCCTGAGCACGGGAGAAAGGTCTTGAAGTTTAATTTTTTTTATATCATAAATTACGGACACACAGGTGCCAAATGAGGTCTCTACATTTTGCCACCATGCAATGTGTCTAGGTTTGGATTATTCTGAAATGTTGAAAATGTTCGTTGTCATACAAACTGATTTTCTCTTGGATATTGTCCATTAAATTATCAGGAATCGAGATGCACTTACGTTTAAGTTAATTACTGTTTCTGATTATGTTATTTTACTGAATAGTATTAAGGAGCTATATTGCAGAATTAAACATAAACTATTATTGTGGGTGTTCATTTATCTTTGCATTTATGAAACCCCCTCAGTATAGCTAACGGTGCATCAGGTCCACATGGTTTCAAATGGCGAAGAAATAAAAACGTCCTGCTCCATACTTAAATTTTAGTTTTTTTCAATGCTGCGCGCAGGTGCTGCCTACGTCGGGGGACTGTGCAATTACTACCGCGTCGCCGAAACAGAAGATAAGCCTCATACATACAGTATGGTCGGCCTTCTTGTCCACGAATGGGGACACTCGTAAGTAGGCGCATGAAAAAAAAATTATGTGCCTGTATTTCCTTCGAAATTATGTTATACAGCCTTTTGGGAGCATTAAAAGGGCAATGCGCGCCGACGCTGTTGCTCCTTGGAAATGTCTTTTTTCTAGTTCGTCGATTTTGGGGTTGACGGTAAAATTGTCAGAATGAGGCTGAAGTATACACCGGACAAAACCGTTGAGCACGCTTTTCATTTTCTATCTCTAAGCTTAGGTCCCATGCCGCCGCTTTGGTACGTAACAGGTCCTTGTTTGGCAACAAAATCAGCGAGGTGTTTCCCTGTCCACTAAGCACAGCGACATATTCAATAAACGTTAATCAACTGCAAAATCGAAGCCAGTGAAAAAAATGAGAGGTTTTTTTCGAAGGTTATGTAATGTTGGCTAAATCAGGCGTCTTTAGGTGTTTTGAATAAGGGGCTGGATTAGGCACCTTTCGCAGTTTTGGGCCGGTAACAAAAAAGAGTAAGTATAAACGTGGAAGAGCTAATAAATTTGGCTGAAAATTAAAACACAAAAATGAGTCTTCGGGAAAGTATTAAAGTACATTATTTTATGAATACGTGAAGTTCAATTTGAAATGAGGTAAATATGTCGTTACTCGGTAATCGTGTCCACGAAAATTCACAAAGCGTAAATCAAGGGGCGTGTAAACTTCGGCACATTCGCGCAGCTGATGTGCCGAAGTTTACTAATGATGAAACTAATGCTAACACAATGTGCATAAGACGGCAAATAACGTTTCAAATTTTTACATAATTTAAATACGAAGCAGGGGACTGATAATGGTGATGCTGGTGATAACAATTTACAGTTATGGCGAGCGAACCCCGTTAACTGGAATTTTCTTTTGCCATTTCCGGTATCTCATTTTGCGCATTTTGAACGAGTCGCGGCGCCCATTTCTAGGTTCACATATTTTTGCGCCAGTCGATGCGCGTGTTCCGGAAGTCGGCAGTGGACCGGGCATCTTTGAAAGGACCACGGCCAGCCGTGGGCTGGTCTGAAAACTTCGATGAACCGGATCTGGTTTGCTACCAAGAGATTGGAGACCCGTACCTAAATAAATTCTCGCCTTCCGAAGACTTTGTTTTCTATTATCTGCGAGTTATTCAACAGTCATTGATATCGTAATGAAAGCCTGAAGGGTACAACAACTATCTTTGCTGCCAATAAGCCTCAACAAAACCCACAAACATCAGTCCTGCTTCCCGACTTCCTGCATGGCCTTAGCTCTGATTACACACTTTTCCATGACGAGGAATATAATATAATAGGGCGTCGCTACATCTCCTATAAAAAAAATATCTTTGATAATTTACCCCGAACTTTGTTTATAAAAACAAATGCTCAGCAAGAGTAGCGCGGTTATTATTGCAGAGAACGGTAACGTCATTCTTCTTCAACATTCGGTGTCCTGACATGTATTTCACACATGCGCAGCAACTTCCGGTACCACTTAGGGCAATGTGCTCGTAGCCGTAGAGCAGCGGATCATAAGCAAATCTATGTTAAAGGTGAAAGTTAGACGAGGTGAAATGTTGAGATGGCAAGCACATTAATGAAAACAAACGCTACGACGGTCAATAGTGTAGGAAAGGTGCGAACCGCTTGGCGAAGGACAAAAACCGGTTATAAATTAACCGTACGGACTCATTCTACCGACGGCAGCAACGCAGCCCAGGTTTCTTTACGCCGAAGCAAAAATTATAAAAATCAGGGAGCTACCAAATGAATGCCGGTGTTGGCTGGATGCTCACGGGGAATACTTTGAAACACTAGCGCGGTTTAGTGGTTGTTGGACTTTGTTTACTTCTGTAGGGTTCAAATTTCCGGACAACATTTAACAATCATTGTACATGTAAAACGTATTGGTTCCTACGCGTTGTTTTCCCGAACCCTTTTAAGTATACTAGAGCGAGTATCCGAACCAAATGTCTGTGTTTTACACAAAAACTAAATTAACTACGCTCCGCCTACTGCTCAGCCTCTACCCAATCATAGCAGTAGCTGTGCGGTGCAGATGGCAACGAACTAAAACTAAAGGTTATCTTCAAGAAATTAAAATCATTTTATCTAAATTTTATTGGGAAAATAGGACCTATTTCACGGTAGCTGACGCCGTTCATTTTTATGTTTTCCTGGGTTTTATCGACCGCCATTTTTATATTGACAGTTCTCCAAGACTGCCTATATATTTTAAGCCAGGTAACGATCAACTCTGGGACTCTGGCTTGTGCTCCGCATCAACAGCGCTACATTTGGGCGAAGGATAAGCGTTCCACGATGCGTAGTTAACTTTTAGCTATAAACAAGGCAGATACCAGGGGTATCTGTGTACAACATTTCTTATTGGAGCAGCTCTTGGCATTGGGACCCTGTTAAATCTTGCCAAAAACTTCCAATCAAAATCAGCAAGCGGCTGGAGTGGGTGATTTCATGAAGCATTCATGATGATGTAAAATCCCACCAATCTCACAATTTGTACAATGACGCAAAGCAAAATTTAGATTTGATACCAATCGTAGTGAAAACAGTATTGAGTAGGACGAACACCACACCGTCGCTAGGGCCTAGTCTACCTTGACTGTTTTATAGGGTAGACGGTTGGTGCTCTTAGCGTGGTTAGAGCTGCGGCCTAATATATAGGAGATGCGTGAAAATAAATTTGCAGCCGAGTTTCGAGACGGTGTTGTGTTTGTCACTTTTTTATCCCATTTTTGTTGCTAATCTCGAATTCTTTTTTTTTTTTTTTTACTATGACTGTTGACCCGCCGCCTTCGCAGTAGCCCTTCTTTCAGTATTGATAATATTCAGTTTTTTGTGTTTTTTTTTTAGAAATGAGGTTGCCTTAGCTATCGCGATATATTCAAATGTAACCCTCACGGATTTCATGGCATTTGTATATGCACGTTATACCTGCATCATCTAACGATTTATCGAGAACGCCAATAAAAAATCCCGAAATTATAACTTTCTCAACAGGCTAGGAATGGTACACGACGGAGACAGAGCGGTGTATAGCACCCCTGCTTACAAATATGTTGTGTGCGACCCACGTGAAGGCTACATAATGGCACCTGTTGCAAACGGCGCTCGGAATGGACAATGGTCTAAGTGTTCCTTGGCTCATTTGCAGGGGTTTGTCAGGTACGATTCCCTATTGTTCTATATTACCGCTCTATTTTGTCCTAACTTATATGTGCTCTTGTGCCCTTCGTTTGATGATCCATTATGCCCTCTTGTGATGCTTCTTTCCTTCCTACATTTAATTATATTGAATGGGTTAAAACGCAAAAAGACGAAAGACTAATAAAAGAAAACACACAGACACACAGCGCTGTGTCTTTGTGTTTCCTCTTAATGGTTCTTCGTCTTTTTGTACTGTTTTCACCCATTCAAAATGACCATCAACCAACTCGCCCAACTTTACACCTTGTTGCAGTTCCTTGTTACTTTTGATTTTATATTATGACCTAGATTTGAGGCTCCGCTGTAGCCTCACCTTGATGCTCTATTTGGACTTCTACTTGATGCTCCATTGCGTTCTACGTTTAAAACTTAATTCTGGACTTTATTTTTGGTCAATTGTGTCCTACCTTTGATGCTCTATTATTTCCTACCTATGATGCTTCTCCGACTGTTGATGTTTTATTGTGTCCTACCTTTGATGGTTCATTCTATTCTACCTTTGATGCTCTATTGCGTTTCGCCTTTCATGCTTCACTGTGTCCAAACTTTGGTGCTCCGTTCAATCCTACGTCTAATACTCTATTTTGCAGTACATTCAATGCTACATCGTCTCCTGTTTTTGAATTTCCATGTTGTCCTATCTTTAAAACTCCATTATGTTGTAACTTTGGTACTCCGTTCTGCCTAACGTTTAATAGCCATTGTGTCGCATTTTTAACGCTACATTTCTCCTCTTTTTCATGCTCTATTGTGACCCGTCTGTCATTCTTCATTGTGGTCTAAGCTTGATGCTCCGTTCAATCCTACCTCTAATGCTCCGTTGTGTCGTACTTTTAACGCTACATTGTGTGTTTTCTTTGGTTGTCAGGTTTTTTCTAGACTCAATGATTCATTATGCCCATCTTTGATGCTTCATTGTCTCCCATGCTTTATTGGGTTCTATATTTGATTCTCAATTGTGTTCCACATTTTGATATTCATTTTGTCCCCTCTGTGATACTTCAATGTTTTCTATATCTGCAGCGCCATCCTATTCAACATTTGATGCTCCACTAAGTCGTATCTTCGATGCTCCATTTTGTCCTACCTTTACTGGTCCCTTGTGTAATATACATAATGCAATATCGTGTTCATCGTTCATGCTCCACCGCGTTATATTTTTGAACCTTCTTTGTGTTCAACATTTGAGGCTTCTTTATGTCCTCCGTCCTATCTTTGACGCTCTATTGTGTTCACAATAATGCGAAGGAGTGTGACATGCACGGTTTTTGCCCATTATTATTTCGGCAGCCCGTAGTTGGGAGAAGCGCCGATATCGTGCTGCCGAGATTTTCCAAATAGTGACAAAGCGTTCCAAACTGACACGTCTCTATTTCAGGTACATTATACACGAGAGTTATGGTGCTGCCTTCCGTCCCTTTTGAAATAATTTTACATCACTATCAGACCTGATCGATTAATATCGCGAAGCCCGCTGGAATTTTGTGAATTGTTTAAAGTCCTGAAGCCTCTAATTCTGATTGCCGTTAATAGTAAGCAGTGAGAAAGTGCAGGCGAGCTGGTAATTAATCGACATCTTGTTAACCCTGAGATTGGGAACGTTGTGTTCGTCCGTTTTTTTTTTATCGTTCCCCATCTCAAGGTTTACAAGATGCCGTTATAATACAACTACCTTGTGACACGTGATACCAGCGATTGAAATGCTAATTTCCAAATCTCACCTACTTCTTTCTCTTGCGGTGAGCCTTATTTTATACTAAGAGCGCAAGAGACCTGGTGTATATTTACAGCGCTTGTCCTGTTTGCACTTCCTCTAGTCCCCATTTACTGCGCGCTGTTTTCCTTTTCGTCAGTATATTTACCATATTGATGAATTATTCGAGACTGGAGCTGAAACTTCGAAACATCAAACTTGGAATTGGGTGACAACAGTGACAGGAAGGCTAACTCTAAAAGAGACTTTGTGTTTCTGTAACTTTTTTTTTCCTTTTGCTTCAACGATTGGTGTTTATACGTTGCCGCTCCAGTCTCGAAAAATTCATCACGACCCTCTTTTTATGGCGCTCAACCTTATAAATACACATTAAACAAAACCATTTCGAACTAGAATTAAGTACTATGTATATAATCAAACAAGGATGCCCCAAGGAGAACTCTGCAAGATGCTGTGTCTCATTTTCACTGCGAGGCTCCACGTTGTGTCTAAACGTTTATGGTCTTACAAAGGCGTCATACCTTTTACTGTGGGATTAGGACTGTTTCTAAACTTTGCCCTTCTTCATTGCTTCGGTGTTCACTGGAACGATAACTTTACATAGGCAGGTACTGTAGTAAATGTTGAAAAGGTTCCCGAGAACAAAAGTTGATTGTGGAAATATTGTGGCATTAATACTGTTATGTTCTATGAGTCTCACGCCAATGCAATCTTTGACAATCTTAGATATCTTCATTATTATAAACATAAAATAAATATTATCTATATGTAATACTAGACCTCAGTGCGAACAAATATGTCGGGCATAGAGATAAAAAAATACCTTCTTAGTTCCTGGTGAATTATAATCATATTGAATTTTGTTTACTTTGTTTATTTTGTGAAATAGTAAGCTTTATGCAGTCCTAGGCAAACTGCTTCAGAAATAGGCTTATTTGCGCAGTTTTGTTGGAAGCATCCGTGAGAGGGTGGAAGAAACAAATGTCCCTTGGTGAACGGTATTTAACTTCTATTAAAGTTTTGCGGGGAGGAGGCCAAAGTCGCATCCCAATTTAAAGGGTACTGCTTTCATTCGACCTTTCCAGGATGTTGTAAATGTTAGCCTTTGAACGTCATTCGTGAAAGATGGAATTCGAGAAAGTGTTTTGGGCCAGGCAGTCCCTAATCTTCTTAGGGAGCTGAAGACTTCGCTTTTTCAACGCGACGCGATAATTTCGTCCTAACGACACCTAACGTTGTAAACCAGTATCGGTCACGTATGCGATAGAAAACTATGGCCCTCTAAGCGCGGAATAAGCTACTTCTAACTTTATCAGTTTTTTTTTTGTTGTTAGAGCAATATGTTGGTGATTTTTAAACGTTCTGAAAGACGAGGTTTAACTGTGAGTTGAGAGCAATTTCTCGATATATTTTTTTTTATTCGATAAAAATTTATCTAGAATCAAGCAGTACGACGCGGTAAAGTAACATTGTTTAAGCAAACATGGATCTTTGAGTATAATCATGCATTCTTTATTTTATTGTTTTTAGGACTCTAGGTAACGCCTGCTTTGATGTAACGTCACAGAAGAACTACACAATAAACATGACAGATCTTCCCGGGGCGAACATGACGAAAAAACAACTTTGTCATGACACTTTCCCAGACTTCGGTCCTATGACTTTTTATGACGTAAGTTTCCCATCCTTAACAGTACCTCATAAAAAGAAATGTCTTTTAATGCCTGAAATTCAGCTGCACCGTAAATGATTTAAACGACTAATCGGGCAAAAATATGCGTCTTACAAACGAAAAGCTGAATATCATCCAAAAAAGTAAATAACGCTATGCCTGAAACAAAATGTTTCATTGTACGCCCCATCTCACAAGTCGGTTTCTGTGCTAGCAAATATACCTACCTCACTAAGTTTCTGGCGCATGCATGGCACCGCCACATTTCTTGCTGACAGGAGGGAGACGGCAATGAAAGCAACATCTTTGAGCGTAACGTTACACGAATGGAGCTCGGCGCTTGAGAGTAATAGTTCTTAACTTCTTAACCTTATTCAGTACGTTCTGTGCGTTCAAAAACGGGGCCATAAATTGCGGGATCAAAGCCCTCCACAACTGATTTCTTAGCATAAATAAAAAGGGCAGCGGGTCAATCTCGCACAGGAGTCCAAGTTTGGGACACTGAAGTCTCGTCATTCCAAAGTTCGTCGTTCCGTGAATAATTCGAGCTGCGGTACACGCGTTTGTGTTCAAACCCGCGCAACCAGAACGTATATTTCACCAAAGATTTCAAGTCAGAGCAACGGTAAACACCAATTCTGCGTTAAACACGGCAAACTTAAAACATAAATTGTGGACATGATTGAACAGGCTTATGCAAAGGAGCAGTAAATTGCACGAAGTGTTTTGCTGGGACTCCTGCTTCAAGATTGGCAGAAGAAATCTAGATAATATAACAGTCTTGTTCTGCCATTTATGAGGCGCTAGTGTCTGCCAATACACTTCGCGCAATGCATTGAATTTAACATAAGCCTGCTACTTTATGTCACAGGTCATTGTATTAGATTTTATGAGTATTACGTAGAGCTGATGCTCGCAATGCTTAGGTTTTGAGTCTACAGTGAAATCGCTACTGCGGTCATGCATGTGTTCACAAATACTTGCGCAGTGTAAATGTTCACATATCGCTTCCTTTGACATAATAAGACACGAATGTTTCTGTTTTCAAATGCTGCAGACGCATCACCGCGCTGCCCTCACCTTTCTTGCCACAAAATAGTCTGAATATTCTGATCGCACCACGCATTGCAATAGTATTACTTCAGACTAAACTACGCCAACAACACCTTGAAACTTTTGCATACCAGTCACCCTTTTACATTCACAAAGATAACTATCTGAAAAGCGGTATTTAAAGCGACCGAAGAAACAGTGTTTCTTAATATGCAGTATCAGATGACATGAAAATAATACAGAGAACTTTGGTACCAATATGGACGAGTCATAGCTAGACCATGTCCCTAGTGCTGCATCACTTCAAAAAGGCCAAAACTTTATTTACGCCTTAGCGGTAAAGAGACGTTACCGGAAATTTATTTCCGAAATACTCTTCCTTGCGTCGCGAGAGGTGGCGGATAAAACAAAACGTATTTTTGTAACGTCCTCATAAAGTTAAGCGTCTTCTTTGCAGTATACCGGGATGCTCCCCGAGTGCACTACAGTGTGCTGCTCTCAATTTTTCCGAACATGCATGCAAACTGTGCTTACGGATGGAATGGAATGCAAACACGGACACGTAAGAGCCATTTCTTTGACAACTTGTACAATATTCTATTGACGACTCCGGCGAAATTCACGCCGCGTAGCAAGACAGTCCAGAAACTCCCAAAGTAGGCTCTTTGGTTCAGGCCGTCTGCGTTCGATACATATTTCCCGGAGCCTATAAGCACTGAGATCCTACGAAAACCAGGGCGTGGCCAATTCCTAGAATTTTAATATTGCTCTGCAGCCAATCAGATGACAGCATTAGCGTTAAGAACGCAAGAGAACCAATCACGAAGGAAGATACGTGACATTAAGTAACCACGCCCAGCGTTTCCTAGGCAGGCTGTGACTATTGCCAAAGTAGCTTAACGTCCCTGTTTATCAAAATCGATATATGTATCCCTGCTCAGAGATACCGCAAGAAAATAAGGAATGATCAAGTCTGCGATACAGCTTAAAGGTGTGCGATTTCTTTCATCTTTGAGATAAAATCTACAGCAGTTCAGATCGTGTTTTACCATCTGAGCTCTTAGTGAACGCTTCGGAAAGGAGCTCATTTATGACAAGACAATCACTACAAAATTTGATTCAATAAAAAGAACCGAATCATATATATAGGAAATATATGTTTCTTTCTTTCTGACAAATCAAAATATAAGAGATAGTCTGAAGAAAGAAAAAAAAACCGCATAACTTTCAACTTTTGTATTAGTGTGTTGGATATTTTAAGGATATTGTTTCTTAAAATATGAAATCCATATTGCAGTCAAACGAATATGTTCCAAAAAGCTGAATTCCACACATAATCAAGGCAGATTTCCACTTCCATAATCCTTATAGCAAATCGTGTACTGGGTTTCTTGGTAGGGCAGTGAAGCAGAATGGCGTCAAACATTCTCAGTTTTTTATTACAATGACTTGGTGATTGGCCTCTAAGCTTCCTCTAAAATATTGATAAAAAATGCATTTATCCGAAGTCCTTATTATCGCAAATCATTATGGATTATATCAAGAAATTGGTCTTGCTAACAAGTCAGGCAAACTGTCGACGTTTCTTAAAGAATATTAGAAATCCCCACTACGTGAAGCATCCCGTTGTATGGCTTTTAACAAGTAGCCGTGAGATAACCTTTGTATTGCGTTGATGTCTACAGCCCGAAATAGGTCCTTGTAAAAACCGCCACTTTGCTTTTGGTACAATTTTTGCAAACCTTAATGATGCTACTTTGTCTACAGTTGTTTCAACAGATAAAAATAAACCGTCTGAGCCGCACATTGTGTTACCTGATGAATCCCGGTAAAAATTACAAATTTCATTCCATGATGCGATATTACGTCAGTGACGGTACTCCTATTGTATAATTTCGTTACCATGTGGAGGCCTTGCAGCAGCAAGCACCCCATCGATTGCGAAACAAATTCAAATTAATTACCTTCAGTGAAAATACCAAACCTATTTTTTTTTCTGTTGCAGCATTGTGTGAAACACAGATGCGTCAAGAAGTAGGTGTACAAATCACCGAGGATAGTTGTACTCGCAAGTCTTCTGAAAACTCCACATATAGCAAGAATGACAAGAAGATTTACGACAACTAAACGGAAATAAAAATATCAGCATTGGACACAACGTTCGTTAAGCTTGGGACGTTAGGTCACGCCTCACGTTGATTTGCCTCATCTGAACGTAAGAGAAAAGTTACTCCCAACAAGAAAGACATTAAAATAAATTATTGTTTCCAAACCATGACGATAGTAATTACAGAAATAAAGTAATAGAAGACTTCTCACCAAACTGGTACCGCTAGGTCGTTGCAGATCAAAAAATGCACGAGACTTCCTGCGACAAATCGAATCTCCCAATATTAAAGCGGCGCAGTAAAACGTGTTTGAGCGAAGTTTCGCATTAACGTTAGACCCTTATGTGTCTTAGGTAGATCCCGTTTTAAAATACACTCTCCTGAAGGAGTTTGTGGATTTGTGATGAAATAGACATTTATGAACGAAAATATTCGCATGCGTCAAGAACACCCTACAGTCTGAAACAAAGTGATAAAAAAACGGTGTTGGAGCTTTTCTGCTGTCCGTCCTGACAACCGAAAATGGGAATTGAAAGTTCCTAAATGTTTTTTGATACATTATAAATAGCAGTCCCCATAAAAAAATAACTTGGAAGAAAAAGAGATAACAAACTAGCGGTTATTTCTGGTGGTCTGCAAATAAACTTAAGCGACAGCTGAGGCGCCGCACATACTATTCAAACAGACAAAACACATTTATTTATTTATTTGTTTGCTTATCAATATTACCAGCCACCTGATCGATGGAAAACACAAGAGTAAACAATGCTTTGTAGACTGTACAAGCCGCTATGCATAATTTAGTATCTTTAACAAGCGTACTGCGCTTGTTTCTCAATACGTAACCGTGCAAGTAAAACAACCGTCCTAAAAGAAACAGACACAAACGCCGACTGAGAATACCAAGTTCTGAATCTGACGCAGCAGCGCGAGATATTTTTTTGTGTTACATGGCCGAGTTATACTTGGTTTTATGCTTAGTGTACAACGCCATCAGAGCTGCTGGCAAAAGCATTTGACGTGGTCTTGCAGCTCACTAGCCCGTGCTCTCGCCCAACTAAGACGTTAGATGAAGCCACGCGCTCAAGCAAAGTAGCGTTTGCATATTGCTCACTAGTTATAAAACGAAGTATGGTCGAAAATTAGGTTCTGTGTACATTTAGACCCCACAAGTTTAGTCAACCCTAACAGGAATCTCGTGCCCCTGCAGTAGATAAAAAGTTTATCCCGAACAGTATGATTGCTGGCCTGTCGCTTTTAAAATGCCTGATGTTGTTGTGATGCACGATCGCACTTTTGTGCATTGCACATAGAGATTAAAACGTGCAAGCCTGGGGATTTACTTTGTATCTAGGTTCTGCAGCTCAAGTTTTGCTCTATGGGTTTTAATCTGCGGTCTGTAAGCACATGTGGCCATTTATCTTCCCTAAAGCCAATACACAACAAGAGGGTTTGGTAGTTGATATATTATAAATAAAGCGTGATATCAACCTTCAACCTGCTCTGGTTCTCGTCCAACTTCATTTTAAAAAGTCTGCTGAGGAGACGCCGAAGTGCTTTCGTAGGTAGAGTAACCAGGTATATTTATATAGAATAGAGTGCGATGCGCATCTCTGCAGATTGATAGATGATTTTTCTGCGAACGACGTTACCGCCAATCACGTATCGCGCCGAAACTTCCCGCCGTAATTATGTGCTGTCTGTCCCATATAAAGGCAGTACACAGCCAACTAAAGAAAACTGTATAGCTATACCTAGTCTTTTTGTCATATCCAAAGTCACTGGATCTGAGAAAGTAGCGCCATTGCCTTCCCACCTGCTAACCGGGCACAAATACCAACATGCAGACGACAGAACCTCTCAAGGTGATTGGCTCATCCCACTCGGTTGCCATGGTGATCGCTATTTCGACCCCTTCAAAGCGAAAGGGTCAACGACTTTTTGAAGCTTCGAAAGGGTCGTCAAAACCAGCTGACCAAATTCTCTATGAAGCATCGTCGTCTGAAAGTGTTTCTCGGCCAAAATGAACGTCTATGGCACTGTGTATTCGAAAACAATGTCACTTATGCTTATTTCTTCACATCTTTTACAATTATGATGCTTTTCTCGCATGTTTGAAGACAGTAAAATAACTTTCCATGTCCCCAAGTACCGATGCCGCGTGTTACGCCATACATCTTCGTACCGCCATCACATTCAACATCAGTGCTTGGAGGCAATGAAAAAAATTTACTGGCTTGAAACACGCAAGAAAAGCAACTAAAATTCAAAAGGTCATGTACAGTCAAATCGCTTTGCGCAAGACTGTTTATGGTTGCTTTAAAAAAAAAGAAAAAGTTGATTCAACCAAGAAATGTATAGTCCTAGCGATAAAGATAACAACATTGAAAGCACCATTCGTTTACATCCACTCTCTTTTAAAACAAAACAATATAAAGGCTGGGGTCGAGGTACATGCTTGTCAATCAAGGGCGCTCAGATCTTTGGGCTGAGCTGTAGGTATTTAGATTTACTAATTTTTCACAGTACCGAGGTTTCACTGAGCAGAGAAGGTGTGCGAAACGAGGGACTCATATTGAAAATAAACACTATAATATTCCACACACAAACATCACAAACAAGCTTCGGCTTCGCAATAAAACACCTTTTCATGATTAGTTGTGAATACTCAACAATACAAACCACTAAATTCAGGAGAGGCACGCATGGTATTAAAATGCAAAAGATTGACTTACAAGTCAAGTTCAGACTCATTATCAATAAACCAAAACACGATCAAAACAACACGTTATTTCTTTGACAGTCTACTAGTGAAGAAATGTTTAGGTGGCTCCCTCTTGGTGTTCGTTAGCGAAGACTTGACCCAAAGTTTCTTCGCTGCGACGCCAAAAGCTGTATTCTTGGCTGCTTTTTATACTCTGCAAATTAGTTTTGATGGTGTCTTTCAAAAGTGAAAGCCCTTTACAACTCCCTGGAACGCCAAATTGGAGAGCAGCTTTTGAAGAGGAGGCGGGATGGGTACTAAGGGGAGGGTATATTCCTTCTCCCTCCTCCTTCCTCGCTATCCTGCCTGCTACTCCTGATCGAAAGGGCTTTGGTTCGAAGCCGGCCGAGGGACAAAAGATAAAACTGGTTTAAAATCATCTTTCGGAGTAATGAAAATTCAGATTCGTCACCCCTGCTCATTCGTCCCCCCTGCTCATCCTCCTTGCTTCCCTCCTTTCTCCTGCTCCCCTTACGGGGGTCACATGATCTCGGGGTGTGTGTGGGGGGGGGGGGTAGCTTGACACGTGACCCCCGGACCTGGGGGTCACGTGACCTGGGGGTGTCACGTGACCTGGGGGGGTCACGTAACCGGGGGAGGGGGGGTCACGTGACATGGGGGAGTCACGTGACCTCACGGTTACGCCGACGGCGATGCCGCTCATGCCGGAAACGGGCACCTAAGAGCTACGCTCTAAAAGCACGATGGAAGCTTCGACCCATCGCAGTCTTTAAATAACATACTTAAGGTACAGAATCTAACACTGCTTTCACATTTTCGGTGCAAGCGGAATGATTTAAAATAGAGGCGTCATATTAGCGTTTAGCCAATCACGAATGCCCACCAAGCGACACTTTCGGTCATCCATCTCACCAAAAACTCAGCCTGTTTTTTTTTCTTCAACTGAGACGTCTTCTTTTGAGCAATTATATTATACTTCAAATTTTGCTTCCTCACCCCGGTCTTGGTTGTTCCAAAAAATTATTAAAGGGATTGTACGGTCGAAACCGGAAGTACTTAAGTTTTTCCGCTCGTTACGTTGAGGGAGCCTTCATGCAGACAAACGTCATTTTCATTTTGATATATGATCTCCCGTTATTATTTAAACCTTTCATGAGCGCGTGTACGAAACTGCACCCCAAATTTCGCCAGTGTCAATGGCTGACACCCGTAGCTGCTGCATGACGTCACAAAACGCAAAGGTTTGTCGGATGGTCAGGATAACAAGCGTTGGTCGACGGATGTCTTGTATTTTGTTTTGAATTATATAGTTTCTTAGGCTGTACACAACTGAAATACGATTTTTTTATTGCAGTTCCCCAAAAAAGTGACGCCTTTTAGCAGGATATTACTCGAAAACAGCCATAAGCTTCACGCAAACGTACGCCGTTTCGCGCAAACACAACTGCGACGGCCACCGATCGAACGAGGAGCACAAGGAGCGCTTGCAAAGTAAAGGATGCAGATTTCGCCTCTGAAGCAACTAGGTACACGAAGTGGCATCTGGGTACACATTTCGGCGGATCCACTGGATCGGTGCTGAGGTTGCGGGTCGTTCCCTCAGAGGCGATGTCCGCGGGTCGAAGGTAAAACGGCGAATCGTTCAAATGCATGTCGTCACTTGACTTAGACGAGCTTGGTGAATGGTAACCACACTCCATTTTCACATGCAGGTCAAAAATAATCTGGCTCCACGCGTGCTAAATGCACTTTCTAGTACCGTTTCCAGGTGGTCTAGCTGTTGGTTTCGGTTTCGCTGCATATTCAAATTGATTGATCCGATTTGGGCGAGGAGTGGATGGACGTAGCTTAATATCGTTGGCACAGCATCACACTTCCGCTTACGAGCCTTCTCTCCGCTTAGAGCTCAGTTCGTAGCTCTCTTCTGTGAGATGATTGCTGCATAAGCGGGATCTCGATATTGACGGAACCCTGTCCCTACGCACGGCGACGATGCATTTCGCTCGTCACTGCACGTCTCGCGGAAAAGTGTGGAACGTCATGTTTTTGCCTCGCATGTGCTGCCCGGTGGTTGTGGCATCCAACCGCGCAAAGAAAATTTCACCCAACCCTGAAACAAGTTGAGCACAACAACAAAAACGAAGCACGTTGAGGCGTTCACTCGCAGGTAAACGACGAGACAGAAATGCTCGCTTTGTGTTGTGT